TCCTTTAATGTGTGTTTTGTGATATATGTACTTCTATTGATTATTTTGTAAACCTCCCTCAAATCTCAATGGATGATGTGTGGTTTAAAAATGCAGTAAGCAGCAGCAGCAGCAAACTGCTCTTACAAAAGCACCTTGAGATGGAAACTGGCACTCCAAAGAGACGTCCCCAGAACTTTCCTTCACTTGGAGATACGCAGAGCAAAAGACAAGGTTTTCACTCATGAAAGGTTCGCATACATTTTATTTCTAACTGCCTGTGCATATACATTATTTAACACAAGAGAGCTAGATATAGGATCAAAGTTGCTTTTGTTATGCATGTGAAATACTGTCTGGAATAAGTCATATATTTGCTCACCTGCAGATGGATTTTACTCTGGCTAGAGAGACAAAAATGAGACATTTCATTGCAATAATAAATTTTATAAAGCATATAAGCGCTTCCTTGTAATATTTAATGCACAATGGAGAGTTGATAAATACGTTACAGCCCTGTCTCCATAGGACCGTTGATAGGATGGCACGGTATTTGATTCAGGGAGGCACTGAGAGACTCACGGTCTCTTTAACCCTATTATAATTCCACTGGCCAACCCATGTCATCTCAGGACTTTAGACTGATGATTTGATTTGACAGAATTGGTCAAACAGACAGGCTCTCTTTCCCTCCTTCTATTCAAATGGAATGAATTTCAAGATTTCAGCAACCAACGAACAGTGAAAACTGTGTCGTGAGCAGAGAGGAAAGGAAAGCCTCAACCCAAGATATAATGACCTCATTCATTTGGTGTGCCCCCCCCCTCCTTGAGCCACCTGCCATGTTGGTCTGCTCCACTGGTCAAGGAGCCTCAAGAAGTGTCTGTTTGCAAACGCTTCGAAGAGGTCAGATGCACGTATTCTGTATCCCCAATTATAACATTACAAAAAAACTGAGAGGAATGGGAGCTCATTAAAGGTTTTCATTGAACTCCATGGAAACATTCACCATATGGAGGTTGTGACAGGCTTCAGTACAGGAGGGGAATATTTGCCACACACAAAAAAGCAATGGCTGCTTCTCATCACTTTTCAGATTCCAACATTAATTAGGCCGTGAGCTGATCATTGAGAGGTGATCCAAAGCTTGGACCATCTGTTGCTGGGGTGCACTGACTGCAGATGTGGGTTCAAATCTTCAGACTCCCATCTACATAAGACACTCCTTGCTCACCCAAAAAGGGTGTCAGGGGATGTCTTACAAATAAAAGGTACAGCCAAATCAAAAGATACACCACAAGGGGGGCTTCTGTTTTAGCTCCAAGGAATATTTTGCTGTTTTGCCATCCATTGTGACATACTTAAAAGCTAGCTCCAAAAAATTCTGAGCCTATGGTGCTAGAGAAGAAAAATAACAACTGGAATAGCAGTATATATCTCCAACAGAAAGTTAGTGTGAACTGGTGGACAGAGCAGCTGTGATCATCATGAGGCCTGGCTACTAATTTGAAGAACATACTGTTTGAGTCACAGTATTTCCCCCCTTGCATTCATGAACCTGGGTATGGAGAAATTCACTGGTGTGAACTGGTCACATGTCCACAGTGCAAACCACACTGCAAAAATAAGAATGTTTTTCTCATTCTCCAATAATTAACCCTACACCATTTCTGTTCTGACACAGAAGCAAGACCATCATGAATGTGGGAAGAGAGATTATTCTGGCATGTTCATGTAGTCAAGCCCTTTGGGCTTTTATGACTGAATTGAGCATTGTGGGAATAAAAAAGGAAGCAATAAGCTTGAAGGTTGACTTGACAGCCAGTACTTTGCATTTAATCAGGGATCATTGACTCTGGTCAAACTCAGTAAGCAGTTTCTGTCAATATTCAACTTCATCCCAGAAACAAGACTATCTACTAAAGCCCTGTTTACATAACACATCTTTGATCTCTGGGGCTGGTGTTGCCATAGAATCCAATTGTGGCTGTCACCATCAAGTAGGCATTCACAAATAAAAGCCTTCCTGAAAGAACCACGTGTCATACTCTTCTTCAAGTTTATGACTTATTGTCTCCGGCTTGATTCGAATACCGCAAAAGTACTGCAGAACTTGTCACTGATCTTCACTCTATTCCATTTTATTCTTTGAGTGACCTATTGTGAATCAGCAGGAGGAGACTTTACATCTCAATATGCTGACAATGTTTACTTGAAAGATCACAACTCATGACATCTCTCAGATGTACAAGAGAAAATTGCTGCCATCCAGTCTATTATTCAGATTGATGGCAGCTCTCTTCAGCCCTCTCCCCGCCTTCTCTCCAAGACTCAAACTGAACTGGTGTGTGACAGTTCATTTGGACATAATGGTCACATCTGGGAGAAACAGCCACAGCTGCTTTGTTGTTAAAAGGTGGCCTTTTCCCTCCAGAATACCAACTGAAAAACTTTTGAACTTGGGGATTTAGAATGAAAACTTGAACCATGATTTGAACTTGGAAGCCTACCATCTCACTAACTTCCCTGTCAGGATATTCAGATGAACATTCCCCCTTCCAGAGTGAGGGGAGTCACATTGTGACAGTGGGCAGAAGATGTGGCTGCCTTATATAAAGATTCTAGATCTTTATATATGTATATATATATATATATATATATATATATATATATATATATATCCTATATAACTAGGATAGGATAATAAGCTCACATGCCCTGGATGCCCTGGATGTAACCAGGATAGGGTTGCAAAAACAAATACCATAGATGATGTACAGTGTGGAAATAAATCTGATAATTAAAAGCCAGAAACTAGCTTGACCTAGAGATGCTGCCAGGGTTATCTGATTTGACTCCAAATCAGGCCCACTTCACTTCTTTTACAATTCAAGTGCTATTTCTCTGAGATGTTCTTCTCTAACATGGAATCCTAAATAAAACTCTGAGCATGCACTGTCAGCATTTAGCAGACAAATCTCCCCAAAGCAGGTGCCTTGTAGGTGCATGTGGACACATTCTTTAGTTGTAAACATTTAGACTTGATTATTTCTGTGGAATATATAACTGGGCTATCCAATTAAACAGTCCTTTGTTGCGTGAGTATCTTTTCTAATCAGCTCAATCAAATCTCTTGATTGCTTCTTGAAAACTTTTTACAAGTTGTTTTCCTCCACCCACTTCAAAAGCCTTATCTTGTTCCTGGATTTATTTATGGGGTTGATTTCCAAATGACTGTCATGCGGTGTGTGCAAGGCAGACCAAGCTACAATTCCCAGAGGGCAAAATGATAAAGCACAGCATGCACACGCAAACAATACAAGCTGCAAGAGAATGTTCCAAAGACAGAGAAGCTTTTGGATAATGGAGGCATATAATTCGGACAAGAAAATTGGCTTCCAGGTGGAAAAATCAAAATTAGAAACAGAACTGTTAGAACCCAAAACTAAGACTTTATCAAAGATGTATAACTTGCTGTTGAAATGGAATACCCAGGATGAAACGGTGAAATCTGCTATGATTAAATGGGAACAAGATATTGGACATAATATAATGATGGCTGACTGGGAACAGTTATGGACCACAGGTATGAAGTTTACGGCATAGAATCATAGAATCATAGAATCATAGAGTTGGAAGAGACCACAAGGGCCATCGAGTCCAACCCCCTGCCAAGCAGGAAACACCATCAGAGCACTCCTGACATATGGTTGTCAAGCCTCTGCTTAAAGACCTCCAAAGAAGGAGACTCCACCACACTCCTTGGCAGCAAATTCCACTGTCAAACAGCTCTTACTGTCAGGAAGTTCTTCCTAATGTTTAGGTGGAATCTTCTTTCTTGTAGTTTGGATCCATTGCTCCGTGTCCGCTTCTCTGGAGCAGCAGAAAACAACCTTTCTCCCTCCTCTATGTGACATCCTTTTATATATTTGAACATGGCTATCATATCACCCCTTAATCTCCTCTTCTCCAGGCTAAACATGCCCAGCTCCCTTAGCCGTTCCTCATAAGGCATCGTTTCCAGGCCTTTGACCATTTTAGTTGCCCTCCTCTGGACCCGTTCCAGTTTGTCAGTGTCCTTCTTGAACTGTGGTGCCCAGAACTGGACACAGTACTCCAGGTGAGGTCTGACCAGAGCAGAATACAGTGGCACTATTACTTCCCTTGATCTAGACGCTATACTCCTATTGATGCAGCCCAACAACTTGTAAAAAGTTTTCAAGAAGCAATCAAGAGATGCCTTAAGAGAGAATATTATGAAAATGGTATACAGGTGGTACATGACTCCAGTCAAGCTTGCAAAAATCTACCATTTGCCCGATAACAAATGTTGGAAATGTAAAGAAACTGAAGGTACATTCTTCCACCTTTGGTGGACATGCCCAAGGATTAAGGCTTTCTGGGAGATGATCTACAATGAATTGAAAAAAGTATTTAAATATACCTTCTTGAAGAAACCAGAGGCCTTTCTCCTGGGCATAGTCGGCCAATTGGTGCCAAAAAAGGATAGAACTTTTTTTATGTATGCCACAACAGCAGCAAGACTACTCATTGCAAAATATTGGAAGACACAAGATCTACCCACTCTGGAAGAATGGCAGATGAAGGTGATTGACTATATGGAACTGGCGGAAATGACTGGCAGAATCCGAGACCAGGGAGAAGAGTCGGTGGAAGAAGATTGGAAGAAATTTAAAGACTATTTACAGAAATATTGTAAAATTAATGAATGTTAGAATGATGTTGGATAGAAATTAAATGGTTTTTAGCTGAAATATTATAAGGGAATATGAAAAATGGATTACTAACAGGTAAAAATTTAATGTTACAATACTTTAAGATTAAAGATTAGGATAAACAAAGAGGGGAAGGATTTGCTGAACCAACAAACTGAACTGGAATACAAAAAAGGGAGGCATGAGGAGGTCCGGGAAACAAGCTAATGAAAAATAAGTAATGGAAAGATTGACTTGTTTTTAACCATTTTTATTTTGTATTTTTCTTTTTTCTATTTTTATTTTGTAATATTTTGAAAACCTTAATAAATATCTTATAAAAAGAAAACAAAGACAGAGAAGCTTTTGAACATTTGCTGACAACAGTTGTAAATGCAAAGTCAATTCCCAATCTAGCCAAGGTTAAGTTCACCAATTGCTTGCTTACTCAAAGTGATAGCGAGAGTAGCAAGCAGGCAGAGTGGCACGACTGAGTACCCAGGTTATGGTAGAATATCGAATCATTGTCAAACCACCTAGAAACAGGGCCCTTGACATTATCTAATAAAACATACACGTCAGAGGAAAACTGCTGAGTGTGAAGGAAGCTATACAAAGCAAGAACTGTCAAGGAGGATTGTATAAAAGAGCCCTCTGGAAATGTGCGCCAAATTGCTGCATGCCTTGGCTCTTTTCCGAGCTAAGCTGGCTATATTCAAGCAGCACCACACAAAGGACTATGCCTTTTCCACACAGTTCGGTCCATAAATATGGTTCAGCGTTGGCTCTTCTCCAAGCTAAGTTGGTCATTTTCAGGTCCTCCGCACAAAGAAGTATGCCTTTTTGCACACATTGTAAACCACAAAATACGGTTCAGCAGCGTCTACTAAAACCACGATCTATGTACAGTAGCCCGAGCCTGCACTCAAATGACTTACTATGTACAGAGAGCCAATGTACACAGCAATACCAAGCAGTCTCTGCATACTGTGATGTTCATATGAATTAACCCTGAAGCTGAAATCAAGGAAGTTGGAGCGGGGAGTTGATTTGGGCTGGGATCAAGTCCCAGAATAATGATGCAGTTTTACATCAAAGGGAGCCGATCCACTTCTGGCATAGAGACTGGCTGTCCAGATGGACTGTGTGAGGCTTCTTCTACTGCTGCAACCTGTGCTCAAGAGCCAAATGGCTAAAAGCATGAAATTAGATTTTTAAGCCTTTATAACACCAAACAAATACACTTCCTTTCTAATTACAAATGAAATCCCTGTTGCCATTTCTCCATCCTGGCATGCTGATTTGCACGGTCATTCAAAGTTCAGCAGGTTGGTTATTACATGCTGATAAGCTACTTTCCATTCCCTCTCTTCATCTCTACTTCCCATGTGATCACTCTCTGCCATCTGGTCCTGTATATTCCTATGCCTGGGTACAGGCATTCACACACAGATCCTTCCACCTGCCAGTGCTGTCTCTCTCTGTATGTATGGTCAGATCTTCCTCATTCCAGATTCAGCTTTGTTCTCATTCTAGAAGTCCTTCTAGAATTTCTGGAATCATAAATGCTTTGTGCACAGACCGACACTGTTGCATGCATGCAACATACAGATGCCAGCTGTCCCAGTGATAATGTTGAAATGGTATAATCAAACAATATATTGCTTTTGTTTAGCCTGTTTCTGTTCCACAGTAGCATGGGAGTTGTTTGCCCATGGGGTAATTCCATGGGATTACAGAATGCATGTAAATCTTAAAAGCACATGGTCAGATCCTAGTGTGTGGATCTTTCCCACCTAATCATCCCTGTCCCAGGTAGCCAAAGACTGGGTGGGAGCAACCCATGCAACTGACCCCATGTATATGGTTCCAGTGTCCACATCCATAATGCAGCCTCATATGATGCTGCTCCCCTGCTTCTGCGTGTGATGGGCCGTGGCATCCTGCAAGTGTGGCTCAGGGGCAGCAGCTGCTGGAGTCTGTGTGCAGCTTCCCCATGTCACGAACCTTCTGGACATCTGGAAATTCCTGAGTAGAAAGGAGTATAAAAGGTTTTCTTTCCCAGCTAAGCCTTGCTTGCACAACAAGGTCTTCCTGAGGTCTGGTGAGTTCCTGTATCCTGGTTGTGCTTCAATCCTGACCTGACTTCTAGCTTATTCTTCAATCTAGCCTCCAGGCAGGGGTGTAAACTTGAATAAAATATGGGAGGGGCAGGTAAGCCCTACCCCACACATAATCGGTCACATGATGCGATGCAGGCGCAAAGGAGTTGGCTCCCATGGCTGCAGGATTTCTTTGGTGCTGACTTGTCCTTCGGTTCTGACTTCTGGTTTCTTCCTCAGCTTCTGTCTCTTGGCTCACCTCAGACGTCTGCTCATGGCCTAGTCCTGACAATTACAATTCTGTACCTATGGTGTAGCCTTGTTCCAAGATGAATAGAGCACATTTTGTTATTGAAAACCAAAGTGTCTTATATCCATGATATAAAATACGATGGGAGGTTGAAGTCACAAGAGAGTTGGACAAAGAGAGCTGTCATTTTCATAACTACATGACAGATGGAGGCCACGTTGGGGACTCTCCGAAAGTTTAATCTATAGCAGCAACAAGCCCTAGAAGAGCACTATGAGATGCTGACAGTTTTGCCCACTGCCTAACAAGATAACAGATGACAATAAAAAGAAAGCAGTTGCCCACAGTAAGCCCTGAAAAGCTGGGAGATAGAACTTTTGGTTGGCTACCCAGAGACAGCAACAGCAAACATGGGACAGAAACCGGAATTGTTTCCTGCTCTTATTGGGTTTAGATCTACCATTACTGGTTTTCAATAATGTTGTTGTTGCTACTCCTATACTGATCTTTCCAGTAAATGGAATAACTGGGAATGGCACAGGTAGCATCTGGGGCCGACTACAAAGCAAGACGATCAGGGGAGAAAATTGACAGCTGGAATTACCCCAAGTTATACAGTCCTAAAGCCTCTGAGCATTGATTCTCACTTTACTGATTGTTTTAAATTGTTTTTAATGTTGCTTTAATGGTGTAACCCTCCCTGGGACCTTATGGCGAAGCAGCCATGCCCCTTGACACCTTGGCTCATTGAGGTTTGATCTATAGGTGACTGTGCAAAGTATTTGCAAGCATGTCAGAAGAATCAAGCATTGGCAGACAACAGCTATCCTCGTTAATAGAAGACAGACTTGCCCCCATTGTTCAGGGAAGGAAGAAGAGTTTGGAGGCATGCTAATGTCTTATTTTACACCTAATCTATTTGCTAACTGCCAACACATGCGCACCACTGTATTTGGCCATCAATAAGACCTGGAGAGAAAAGTGTTTTCTTCCAGGAGCACCACCCCCACTTATAAACAAACCAACAGCTGTTTGCCTCCATTTTGCATACAGAACTTCATTGGCACTCGTCTATTTTGCACCTGGCGCTCACTTGCCAAGTACACTGAGGGCTTACAATGCGCATTTGCATTGGCTCACGGCTCTTGTTGTTGGTCCCATCCAGCCTGTGGTTGTGTAGCACACCCAGCCCCCTTCCTCCACAGGCATAGCCTCAAACGTGATCACATTTTGTCACATGTAACTCTGCCCCTCCCTCAAAATATTATGCCCACATGGAGACACATGCTTGCATGCGCATCTGTGTGAACAGGGACATCTCTCTATCTCTTTCCTAGGTTTCTTAGTTTGACTTTAATACTTTCTAAAGCATGGAGGACAAAAGATTGGGAAAGTGCCAAATATCCTTTTATTGGATTTGGCAGGTATGTTTGCTCAGGAAAGAGAATGGAAGCAAATGGTTTACCTTTACATAGCTAAATAAGTCTTTTGGAAAGGCTACTCTTCTGGAGTCAGTAGGAATAGGAATAGTGATTAGTTCTGCCTCTAATGAATTCAGCCACGGCACTCAGGACTGATGGCTTAGTGATTTTTGAGCCCAGGGATCAGCGTTCCTGTTCAACTCCAGGAGTGCGAGAGCTGAGAAGAAGTGACACGGAGCAGAGTGGGGTGCAGCTTTAAAACTAAGTGCATTAAATGCAGCAGCCACCAAGAAGAGCCTGAGAAGTGGTTGCCATCAGATACCTACAGGGAAGTGACATGAATGAAAAGCAGCACTTATCAAGGCTAGCATCCAATAAGGATGCCTTTTCTTAAGTCAATTAAGGTATCTGCATTAAGTTATCTACGTGAACAGGCTGCATTCTGAGGACAAGATGCTTCTAGATTTGCTAACAATGTACTCAAGCAACTGGAACTGGAAAGTGCATTTTATGCTAGATGAAATGAAACATTCCTTTAGGATGTCCAAAATTTAAATCTAAATACATAAATACATATAAAGAATATTTATTGCTGTGTATCTCAGGGCTTTCCTGCATGAGCAGTTTTTTATGCATGAAAGCAAGAGCAAAAGCCGGCAATAACAAAATCTGGATAGCAAGCATTCAAATACGATGACATCCGTAACATGACCACACACTCAAAAGATGTTATTGTTGTATCTCTTCCTTTAACTGGCAGCATTTCAGAAGTATCCAAAGTGGCTGGAGGTTTTTCCACAAGAAAGAAGCAAGTTCAGAGCAACATTTCTAAAAAGCTCTAGGGCTCACATTCAGGGCAGATTGTGCACCATTTAAAAATCCTTAGGAATGGATGTGATTAAACAGATAAACTGCTTTGAGGGTTTTTTCTCCCAACAATCATGGTATATAAATTATATGAAATATACAAACAAAGCATGCTGTGTCAAATATCACCTGCTTCATGGAAGAGATGAAAAAGGGAGAGATACAACTGAAACAAATATGTAAGAACAACTACAGCAAATTTATGCAGCACTTCTGAGAGACAGAGAGAAATCTCAATCCTAAGTACTTCATAGAATTTGTTTTTAAACTCACAAGCTAACCCTAAGAGATAGGAATTCCAGAAGGGTGATGTGACACAAAAGAGAAAGGGAACAGGGCAGGAAACAATCTGGGTGCAATGCCAGGTCTAGGTTTCGAAGGGCTGTTGTGCAAGAGGCCCTCCGTGGGCCTAACTCCCTCAAGTAGTCTACCTCCTCACTAGCTTTTTCTCCTGCTTCTGCTTCTCTTCCTCACCACGTCTCCCACTTGTTTACTACCATGAATTCTGGGGCTCTGTGATGGAAATGTTGCAGAGAACAGCAGTTTCATGTCAGGATTCTGGGAGGCAGAAGTAGATTAGAGAGCATGTGAAGATGGTGAGGGGGGAATGAAGCAGAACTATTTGACTAGAATGAAGGATGCCTCTCGAGTGAAGGAAACATGAAGGAAGAAGCCACATACGGACAAGCCACCCTAGCTCAGAGGGAAAGCAGATGCTGTGCGTACCTGGCATCTCAGGTTCAGTTCCTGGCATTCTGGGCAACAGGGAAGAGGGCTGGGACAGAGCTCTGTCTCGGGGCAACAGCCAGTCCGAGCAGACAAAACTGGCTCAGATTGACTAAATATATGACAGCTTTGGATGTAATGCTTTGTGACATGGAGTGAAAGAAGAGAGACAATGGTGGCTGAGAAAATCTTAGTCCCCAGAAACACTAAGAGCAGAACTTTAAAAGGAACGCAACACACTGCAGGCAAACAGGTCACTGCAGGTTCCGGCTCCTGTTAGCTTCACAAATTTCCTGTTTTCTGAAATTTCCCCTCAGCCTCACCTTTTCAGCCTCGCCACAAAAATCATGTTCCAAGCTTGGCTGAGCAGCTCCATTTTACACTTGACGTTCCTCTTGGGTAGAGAAAGTATACACCATTAGAGAAATAAATCAGGTCATAAACCTAGAAATCAGGTCAGGCAAGTCTATTTTCAGTGCTTGACCAGCATGCAGGGTTCATTTCAACATGGCCCTGGCATAGACTCTGCTTCATCAGCTGAAATGACAAGTTCAGCTATGCTGTCTTTTGCTCATGGAACGAAAACCACATCAAAAGGCCGTCAAAGAAAGTAAAAGGCCATCCTTTGAAAGTAACGCTCCCAACCATTTTTCCATGTCACTTAAAAGTGCCCTTTATGTTGTTTGCCTTTTTATGGTTAAGGGAAAGTATCAATGGGATGTGAAGTGTATATGGAGATAATATGCCACCATACCCCACCTTTTTGGGAAAGGAAACCCTGTCTAAACAATTACTATATTTTAAAGGCTGTAATCCTATGCACACTGTGCTTCCAGATGGCCTGCTTATTGAGCATTCATCCAGATTGGGGTTTTTTGGGGGGGAGGGGGTATTATATGGTGCTGCCACACTTCCAAGTGCATTCTTACCTCAGTTTCCTTACCGCAAAAAAGTACCTGTGCCTGCACTGCCTGATGTGGGGCTGGGGTGCCGTTTGACCCCATCCTCTGATTTCACAAGTCAAGGAGCTCCCACAAGTGAGTCAGAAAACTCATTCATGGGTCCTGTACTGCAGTTGGGCCTGGCAGCACTTTGGAAAGATATCTGGGGCAATGCTGGGGTCCGAGGAGGAGTCATTCTGGCTCCAGCCTGGGCCAGGCACGACATAAGCCAGCCTGCCTGGCAGAATACCAGCAGGAATCATTTCCCCCGTCCTTCCTCATTCCTTTTCCCTCTCCAGCGGCTACTTCTGCAGCAGCACCTGAACCACTTGTGTATCCTGAGAGGCCTAACCCCTCAGGTTTATGCTTGAGCATAGAGAAGGGGTCACTTCCTCTGAGCTCATCAAGCTTCCAGCCCCATAGGGATCTACTGTATCACCCCATAGTCATTGCATGCAGTGCTATTTCCATTCTGCTGCAGTTTGGGCTCTAACAAAAACTACATGAATCGTCTTGCTGTCCACTTTGGTGGAATTTCAAATAATTAATTACGTCATTTCACACCATTCATTTGACTGCAAAGGCTCTTCATTTCCATGCAACGCAAATGAAATGCAAATGGGGAAAAGTCATCACTACCATATCATCTGCAAACTGAGAACAAACAACAGCAAACACCGATTGCATTTGCTAGATTTACTTTTGTTTTGCACATGGGGCAAATAAGCAAACATTGGCAATTTCTACTCTCATTTCTGCTTCCATCATAATTCTCTGACATTTCTACTGCCCCGCCCCTCTGAGTCCCATTTTGAAGCTAGCTAAAATTAGAGTGGGGGAATCAGTGAAAAACTTGACAACAAAGAAGTATGGAGCACATTCAAAGCCTCTATTGATCAGCATCCTGAAATGGAATGTATATCCTGAAAGTCAATCAGCCGCCCCAGTTCCAAGGGTCCTGTGTCTTGGACTGTGGATCTGTAGATGGGAGAGAAGCACATGTATTGCCCCTTAGGCTTGGCAGTGTATCTGGAATGTTCCACTATTGTATTTTTGGCAGTGGTGGCATATCTTGCATTCCAGCTGTGTAGAGGGGATAACCAACATGGTGTCCTGCAGATAACAATGGACTCCAGCTCTTATCAGCCCCACCAGTCATTGTGGCCAATGGTCAGGAATGATGCAAGGGTCATCCAGCAACATATGGAAGGCACCACCTTGTCTGAAACTGTGTATCTCATCAGCCAGCAGATCTTCAGTATAGGATGGGGCAATGACAATAGCTGTGCAACATTACAGCACACAGCAAGTACAAAGAGAAGTACAAAAACAAGAAGAATGTTCATGCTGCTATTTTTTTTTTTAAAGACCTGGAGGTGGGGATAATTTTGATATTTTTGTTCCAGACTTCTATGCATAATTCAAAAGCTTCTGTATAAGAGCTGAGGAGCTGTATTTATTGTTAAACTGTTATTTTGGGTTCCTGGTTGACAATTTTAGATTTTGAAGCTACCCAGTCATGAAATAGCACAACACAGGCATTGACTGATCACAGAGGTGTCTGATAACGCTGTTGGTTTGAACTTGCCAGACTCCAGTGCAGATGTGAAAAGGAAGCTGAAGGCAGTGAAATCAAATAATCCTCCTGCATGGTGACTTGCAGAAAAGCAAGTTTTGCCTATTGCCTGCCCTGCGTCCAGAGAACCCTCCTTCTCCAACAGCCTGTGTTGTCACAATGCTTTAAATGAACAAGCGTATATGCATACATTGCTATGTTTGGCTAACATCCCACAAGCATTGCCACTCCTGCCCCTCCTGTTTCATTTCCAGCTGCTCACCCCCACTTCTCTCATCAAAAAAGCTGCTCCTATCAGTCCTCTTGGGTGTATGTGTGAGAGATCCAGCCAACTGGCCATGAGTCCCCACAACCTGGCTGGCTTCTTGGCCATAACAGTTGCTCAGAACCACAAATGGGGAGAGTGCTATTGGCCTTGCCATGTCCTACTTCTCAGATTCCCACGGGCATCTGGTTGGCCACTCTGATAACATAAGGCTGGACTAGACGGGTCTTTGCCTCATCCAGCATGGCTATGCTGTAATTTTCCTTCAAACACACACAGCCTTCCTAGACTGAAGCCCAGATTCTGATTCACCTTTTAGATTTTGAGATAGGAAGTTGGCCTTTGTGTTAAATGCACCCACAAGACTTGCTTCATTACTAAAACATGTGCAGAAATGTACCCTATGATTACATTACAGTGATAGCCACAAATGGAAATAGGCGCAGCCTAATATTTACAGGACTTGCAAATTGTCACGCTTTTGTGGGCAGGTGTTCTGCAGACTCTTTTCCTGTTCAGTCTTTAGTCTTGAGCAGAGTTCAGAATACTAATGTGCCCAAGATACCTTTCTGGCTAGCCCGCCTGCCATTTCAAAATGCAAAGGCTTTTGACATGCCAGGAGAAATATGTTTCTCTGTAAACAGAGGATGTTGCTTTCTCAGAGCCCAGAAATGCTCATCATCATTCGTCAGCTCCCTCCCGTTCCCAGAAGGCCTCTGCTCACAGGTGTGGTTGGCAGAAGGTCACAGCACTGCTCCAGATGCTGAGATATTCCCTCACTGCATGTGCTGGAAGCTTGTGATCAGTTTAAAGCCAGCCTAGCCAGTCAGTCCTCTACCTTACATTTAGAAGCAGAATCAAATTGGCAGCCAAATTTTAATGGGGTACAAGATGCCAGAAGCCAATTGGTTTTAACTCTGAACTGAATGTTGTAATCGAGTCTTTGCAGGTGGCTGAAATGGAGAAGGTGGTTTTACTCTCATTTCTCAAGCTGAAAGCCATTTATGACGGCGGGAATAATGGCTCAGATGAAGAATAACAGGGGACTAAGCTTAAGGCAAGTATTTTTAGCATCACCACTTCCTAAGGAGGCCAAAAGTGATACAGGCAATCGTACTATCCAATTGTACTGTATGGCTGAATGTTTTCACAGAATTAGTGTAAAACCATTGGGACATTTGAAATTGGCCACCTTAGATAGGAATCCAGCAGTGTCAAACATGGAAATCGATTGATGCTGTACTGCAGGTCACCACATATACCAGTCACTTCAGTGCTACTTTCCAGCGGACAAAGTGCTTTCCAGGTCTATATCTTTTCTCTTACAATAATTAATTTTAATCACCATCAAACAAGTTCAGAAATTCACCAGGCCGTGAAGAAATTGGTCGTGCGGCTGTGGTTGGCCCCAGAATATCAGGAGCTACATGCTGATGTCCACAAGGTATAAACAGCAACACCTTTGGGGAGAGCTGTAGCTCGGTGGTTTAGTACAGTGGTACCTCGGGTTACATACGCTTCAAGTTACAGACTCTGCTAACCCAGAAATAGTACCTCGGGTTAAGAACTTTGCTTCAGGATGAGAACAGAAATTGTGCTCTGGCGGCGCAGCAGCAGCAGGAGGCCCCATTAGCTAAAGTGGTGCTTCGGGTTAATAACAGTTTCAGGTTAAGTACGGACCTCCAGAACGAATTAAGTTCTTAACCTGAGGTACCACTGTACATGCTTTGAATGTGGAAGGTTGCCGGATCAATCCTCAGCATCTCTCGGTCAGGCTGCCAGGCCGTGTGAACCAGAGGTGGGCAAACTGTGACCCTTGTCCTAATTTTATGCAGTCCTTGGTCAATTTCCAGAAGCCCCCAGCAAGGGAGCAGCTGAGACTTCTGGCAGCCCACTGACAGGGAGGGAGAAGTGGGTGGCCAAAGGAGTGAAATAAAAGGGGTGGCAGAAAGACAGAAACCACTGACTTCAGCCCCCCAGCTGTAATATGGCCCCTGACAGATTACCCATGAGGGAATGTGGCCCTTGACACACACAAAAAGGATGCCCACCACTTGACCAGAAATTTTTAGCCAGATAGACTGGGGTCTCATCCCCACTTTCCTTTTGCCCCCTGCTTCCTAGGCACACATCCACACTTTAAAACGCCGTGTGTGGATGTTGCTTGTTTCTTTTGCCCGGGTGCTTTCCCCATGAAAACCTGCTCTTTAATGCTGAATTGGAGGGAATAGTAAAGAGCGGCTTTTTGTGGAGAAAGTGCTGGAGCAAAACAAAGAAAAGTGGCACAAAAGTAAGTCTGGATGAGCCCCAACCCGTGATAAGGCAGCTTTAAGGCATCTGCTGTGTCTTCTCCTGGAGGGGGCTGGGGCTGACGTGGTAGTTTTCTATATGGCAGAGCCTTACAATGGAAGGCTTACATACACGGTGGGAAGCTGTATGGAGACCCACCATAGAGCGCTTGGGGGGGGGGCAGCTGTGCAGCTGTGGCAGTGTATAAACAGGACCATTCATATACCGCCACCCTAAAGAGGTGAAGCACACAAGCACCACGGTGTCTGTGTGAAGGCATGTGTGTATTCTCAGGATCACTTGTCATGGAGAGTAGTTGCTAATTGTAAGACGTGCCTCCCTTGGGGGTCACTTTGTTCTTGCAATGAGAAATTTGTTGCCATGTGTCCATTTTAAGCTGACCCTTAGGACTGCAATGTTCTTCTAGTGGTAACGATTGTGTACATTTCAGGAGAAGCAGCTTTTTCAGCCTCGCATAACAAGTCCACTTAGCTTAAATGGTCAGATGACATTGCCGCCTGGCCATGGGTCTGGTCAGAGATTCAGCAGCTGGCTATGGCAGGCAGGCCTGGGTCTAGGAATTCCCCAGGGGGTGGGCCCAACAAGCCCGTGGGGAATAAACTGAGGCGAGCCCAGCACTCCTCCTCAGATTTTTTTCTGCTGGATCTCCCTCCCTCCCTCCCCCTTTTCATATGCTTTTCTTTCATGCTAAGACCTTGCTATGGACATTGTTTGCTGCCATATTCAGAGCCAGGCAAGAATTTTTCCACTTGGCAAATTGGCACCAGCCATTTGGTTTTCACCTGCCTCATAGCTATTGTCACAACTTTGTGAGGTCAGGCATTAGGTAAGCCATAGTCTTGGCTGGAGGGGAGGTTGTAGCCTCCACCTGCCCCACCTTGGTTAAGGGTATCCCATTAAAGGGATCCATGAGGAGTGGCTTCTGTGCCACGCCCAAACAAGGGCTAGGGCCATAGAACTCCTCCAGTGTGGACCCTCGTGGGGTACCCCATTTGATGTAAGTCATAGGGGGCCCCCATGTTGTAGCTTACCCTTAGATATACTCCCTGCAGATGGGCTGGAGTTAATTAAATGTCTTCACCCAATGCCCATGCCAAACTGTTTACATCTGTATTCAATAAAGTTGTGGCCTATTTGAACCCAGAACCTATATTCTGCTATCTCGCATGGTTATTTTCATCACATAGGGAGCAACTGGGTCACAGGGCCTTGGCACGCAAAAACCTCTGTTTTACACAACCATAAGATCACAGCAGCAGCTGTGCCGCCACTTGCATTAGATAATTGTTCCCTGATGTTGCTTGACTACAACTTCTATCACCCCCTGTCCTGAGCACTGGCCATGATGGGAGCTGGAGTCTAGCAACATTTGGAAGGTCAGTGGCAGAGGCACCGTCTTCTCAAGTTGACTGAGGGGGCCCAATGCGATGGCTTGGTGTCGTGCGTGTGATGTCACAAGGAGCCAGGGGGCAGAACTGAATGCCCTCTGAACATTGAGGTGGCCCAGTCCCCTTTTAAAAAGGGGGGAACAAAACTGCCTTGGCCCCTAGGAGTTGGTGCATATGGTGACTGGTGACCCATCCTGCCATTTAGAATTCAGCAGATAAAATTCTAGAAATACAATGTCACAGGCAGAAAAAAGGTGAAAATGCTTAAGAGTAAGGTGGAAGTATAACAGTACAAAATATCTGTGCTGTCTTCTATTTTCAGACAGAAAAGCACACACATCCAGCTGTTCCAAGCAGAGTCAACAATTGCTGTGCTCGTGTTTGCTACATATTTCAAGCAATGATTTTCACAGCATATCAGCTGCAAAACACTTCTATTTACAGTTTTGGAGTACTGCAAGCATGCATGATACACTCAGCTATGTCCTGATATCCATAACTAAGGATCTGATATCTCTAATTAACAGATCAGAGGGGTATAAAGGCTCTCACTCAGAGCAGTAATACAAAGCTCCCCTTTTCTACAGATTATGCAGCTGGGGGTGAGGCGTTCTTTGCTTTTTCTGAAGGATATAGTGGCAGCCATTTATCTGTGCTCCTTTCCTTCTGAGATACTGTGTCTTGCTTTGTTCTGGTTTACTAAATGCTCAGCCTCAAGCAATTTTTTTTAAAAAAAGAAATAAGCAAGTTTTCAATTTCCAACACACTATACTGCTAGAAAGCATTCTTATTAGCATAAAAATCTGGTTTTCTTTCAGAAATCCTTCCTCTGAGCATCTCTCGAGTTATCTTTACCACTGGAACCCTTGCTAGACACAATAGACCTAATTAAAACAAAGTACAGTAGCCTAACTCTTTGTTTCTACTGATAATCCCATATCCATACAATGTTTCAGTTTATCGGTGATGCTCAGCCAAGTGAAAAGAAAAATATTCATATGCAAGCGTGCAGTTGCCCAACATACTTGCTTCTTTCCTTGAAAGCTTCCAATCAGCAGATGCAATTCATTTCCCTGTGTGCCACTGAACAGTAAACTCTTCAGGCAGAGAACTCCACTGAAGCTTTGTGGAAAGCAGCAAGCCAAAGAGCAAGGCTGTGCGCAGGCAGGAATTTGAGGAAACAGCACAACCTAGTGTTCCTTTTGCTGCGGTCTGGCACAAAAGCGAAAGCAAAGCAAAGATGCAAACTACAGTGGTGCCTCGCAAGACGAAATTAATTCGTTCCGCAAGTTTTTTCTTCTTGCGAGTTTTTCGTCTTGCGATGCACGGTTTCCCATAGGAATGCATTGAAAATCAGTTGATGCGTTCCTAGGAAACCGACTTCAGACCAGGTCCGGGGACAGTCTGTCCCCGACCTCTTCTGAAGGCTGGGGGGGACAAGGGCTTTTCTTCCCACCCACCCCAGCATTTTAAAAACCCGGGACAGCGGAGGGCTTCTCCGCTGTCCAGGGCGATCTTAAAATGCTGGCGGGCGGCATTTTAAAATTGCCCCGGGACAGCGGAGGACTTCTCCGCTGTCCGGGGCAATTCAAAGCCCCTGGGAAGGCAGGCAGGGGGACAAAGACTTTGCCCCCGCCAGCCTTCAGAAGAGGTCCTGGACCTCTTCTGAAGGTTGGCGGGGCGAAAGTCTTGTCCCCCACCTGCCTTCAAAAGCTGTCCAGCCAAGGCTTCGCGGACCTCTCCGCAAGCAGCGGCAGCACTGCCGCTGCTTGCGGAGAGTTGCCGGCATGCCGAAGCCTGCGCGCGCTGAGATCAGCGCGCCCAGGCTCCGCGGACCTCTCCGCGAGCAGCGGCAGCGCTGCCGCTGCTTGCGGAGAGTTGCCGGCATGCCGAAGCCTGCGCGCGCTGAGATCAGCGCGCCCAGGCTTCGCGGACCTCTCCGCGAGCAGCGGCAGCGCTGCCGCTGCTTGCGGAGAGTTGCCGGCATGCCGAAGCCTGCGCGCGCTGAGATCAGCGCGCCCAGGCTCCGCGGACCTCTCCGCGAGCAGCGGCAGCGCTGCCGCTGCTTGCGGAGAGTTGCCGGCATGCCGAAGCCTGCGCGCGCTGAGATCAGCGCGCCCAGGCCTCGCGGACCTCTCCGCGAGCAGCGGCAGCGCTGCCGCTGCTTGCGGAGAGTTGCCGGCATGCCGAAGCCTGCGCGCGCTGAGATCAGCGCGCCCAGGCTCGCGGACCTCTCCGCGAGCAGCGGCAGCGCTGCCGCTGCTTGCGGAGAGTTGCCGGCATGCCGAAGCCTGCGCGCGCTGAGATCAGCGCGCCCAGGCTCCGCGGACCTCTCCGCGAGCAGCGGCAGCGCTGCCGCTGCTTGCGGAGAGTTGCCGGCATGCCGAAGCCTGCGCGCGCTGAGATCAGCGCGCCCAGGCTTCGCGGACCTCTCCGCGAGCAGCGGCAGCGCTGCCGCTGCTTGCGGAGAGTTGCCGGCATGCCGAAGCCTGCGCGCGCTGAGATCAGCGCGCCCAGGCTCCGCGGACCTCTCCGCGAGCAGCGGCAGCGCTGCCGCTGCTTGCGGAGAGTTGCCGGCATGCCGAGCCTGCGCGCGCTGAGATCAGCGCGCCCAGGCTCCGCGGACCTCTCCGTGAGCAGCGGCAGCGCTGCCGCTGCTTGCGGAGAGTTGCCGGCATGCCGAAGCCTGCGCGCGCTGAGATCAGCGCGCCCAGGCTTCGCGGACCTCTCCTGCCTTCAAAGCCGTCCGGGATAGCGGGAAGCGCTTCCCTGCTATCCCGGACTGCTTTTAAAATGCTGGCGGTGGGGAGCAAAGCCGTTCGGCCCCCGCCAGCCGTCCTGGACCTCATCTGTAGGCCGGAGGGGGGGGGCACGCTTTTCTACCCACCGCAAGCATTTAAAAGAGGTCCCGGAGATTCCCTATGGGCTTTCGTCTTGCGAAGCAAGCCCATAGGGAAATTCGTTTTGCGAAGCGCCTCCAAAACGGAAAACCCTTTCGTCTAGCGGGTTTTCCGTCTTGCGAGGCGTTCGTCTTGCGGGGCACCACTGTAATGCTCAAACTACCACTCAACACCCCGAGATCCTTTCACAGGAAAGTGTGGGGTATAATTCTAACAACAACAACAACAACAACTGGTTGGACTAGATGACCCTTGGGGTCTCTTCCAACTCTATGATTCTAGGAACAGTTAACAATGGCTACATGTCAAATAAGATGTTAAAGTGCTTATGCGCTCTACCAATATTAAGTGCCTGAACCAAAGCAAAACAAGGTTTCAAGCCTTTTTAAAAAAACAACAACAACCACACGCTCTCTCTCTCTTGCTTGCATCTCTTCCATGAGCCCCATGACACCATTGACCCCAGACGACCACGCATAAGCCTGGTCACAACCAGAAGTAGTAGTGAGCTATGGAGCACAAGGGGGAGCTGCCCAGGAGCTGAGGCTTCAGCCGCCCTGCTGTTTTACTTAACTTTGAAAACTTTCCCATCCAAAAGGGGCGCCTCAATGGCTGAGCTCACTGCCAGTGCTGTGGTATTCTCTTTGGGGAAAGTTTTCAGAGTTAAAGTAAAGCAGTAAGTGGTTGTAGCTTTCGTGCCAGCAAGAACCCTGGCCTGCCTGAGCCAAAACTGCCTAGCCACCTAAGCAGCTAGATCTGGAAGTGCAGTGAGTGGAGCATACTCTGCAACAGGATCCCCAAGGATGTGATCTACAGAGAGGAGCTTCAGTCTCCGTCAGTCACAACTGCAGTACCTGGAGACAGGCAGTCAGGTCATGCATCCACAGCAGTGACCAGAGGAGAAATGACTGCTGGGAGGAACTGAGAGAGAATAAATGCCATTTATTCCTGCATCAGTGAAACCGGACGCCTTTATCTGCCCCAGATGCAACAAAACATGTCTCTCCTGTATCGGTCTCTATAGCCAAAGCAGGTGCTTCACCCCCAAAGGCACACTCCTCCACTGTCTCCTGAAACAGACAGATGCCAACAACAGAGTTCTCTTTAAGAGTTGGCAGTTGTTATGAAGTAGGTGTCATATACCAAGAATGAAGAAAGAGACACAAAATAGTAAACCCCAACCCCATTAGTAGTGCCCTGTAGCCAGGAATTTAGCTAGATCTACATTGTGAAAGTTCCTTACTGAGAAAATGATTTTTATGTGTGATGTGTTTGTATAAATCCAGCATTCCTCTACACTAGTTCTTCCTGTTATACAAAAGCATAATTTTTTAAAAATGAACTCATTGGGTGTTTTAGATTCCAGTATTAAGCACATGATGTTTCTTTGCCTGTCCAGTTCTTTTTATTGCAAGAGTGCCATGAGCAATCCAGAGGTGTGGCCTTAATTAATGTGTCACAGCAGCATACATTGCCAATCTGATCAAATATTTTAAAAACATTCCTAACTAAAAGCATGTGTATAAAACTCCCACAGATTTTGGAAGGGAAAAAGGTGTTCCAAAAGCTGTTCATAGACCACAGGAAGGGGAAGATAAATCATATTGTTACACTCATCCTACTTCTTTGAAAAGTGAGGCGTACCGGGGTGCAACACTTACCCAGGTTTGATTTCCTTTCTGAGAAGGTTCTTGGAGGTTAGTGGTGCTTTGAGTTCAGATACAAGCTGAACAGAGGTGGAAGCACAGCTTCAGCACTCCCAACAGCCAGCCAATGTCCTTGGCTCTTACACCAGATCTCTAGAGACAGCCAGGGAGCCTCTTGAAAGACTGTCAGCTTACAGAGCCCCTAAGCTCCCTCTGTCTCTTCCTCTGCTTCTTAGTCCCACTCAAAAAATTGCCTTCACAAACACCTAGATAATCATGATTTGTTAGCTTGCAAGGTGGAAATAGGGAAATTTGCTTTGCTCCTTTCAGAAGGCTTAAGGAAGAGCTCTAACAATGAGTTACCATGGAAACATCATCCAAACATCCCAGACTATTAGCATTTCTTTATCAAGATCCAGTCTCTGAGTAGAGATTGTCTCAGGACAACCTCAGGATAGCTGTGTTAACTCACATCTAACAATAATATTTTCTCATATTAGCACTTTCCTATTGCAAAAGTTGAAGAGATGACAAACATATACTCTAGGGACTTGGGTTCTCAAGATGGGGGTGCAATTTCAGGGGATGGAATTGACACCTTTGTGGGATAAATTCAGCTTCATATAACCAACATGCTCTAATTAATCCATGAAGGGGTTAAGACCATAGAGCAAGCTGTCCTGACAGGCTTAGCTGAGTCACACCTGCTTACCTTGAGAGAAAGAACCACCAAACTCTGTTCTTTCACTTCCACCATGTAACCCCTACCATAGAATTATAGAATCATGCAGCAGTAGACTTGGAAGAGACCCTGAGGGTCATATAATCCAACCCCCTGCAATGCAGGAATCTCAGCTAAATTGCACATGACTAAGCTGGGTGTTCCAAGCTCAGACCATTTGTCTTAAGCAAGTCATGCTTGTGTTTCTGTACAAATAAATTAGAAACATTTACCATTTTGGAACCTAAGTTATATTCCTGTCTTTTCTTGCTGCTGTATGGAAAAGCACATGAATCTGACCTTTGAAGAGTTTGTAAGAAAACCATTTTTAACTTACCAAATGTGTGGCTTCTTTCTATGGTAAGGGAAGTGGGGAACTTTGGAAACAACCTAGAACGGGTTATTTAAAGGTCAAACAGCCTATATTTCTACGCTTTCTTTACTGCATGTTTTGTGATTTTTAATCTCTGCTGGGGCTCTCTCACCAAAGATTACTTGCCGCAAACCTGAATCTAGGCATCTAGGGAACTCTATCTTTTTATTATACCTGCTTTTCTTCTTTCCCAAACACTCATTCCAGGATTTCTGCAAGCAGTCATTGGACAGCTTGGTAGAGTCCATTAGCTTTATCTTCCTTCTGAGTATAACAATAAAACAATGAACAGGGTGGTGATACAATGACTACTGCAATCGACACAAGAACGTACCACAAAGGCAACTATCTGTAAACAAACAATAAACATCCATAAAAATGGTGAAAGTAATTTCTTTCCAAAATAGATTTTATCTTGAACAATTGCAAATGCAGTAATAAAGAGTCCACTTGTGATATACCAGTGGTTCAGAGCTTGGACGCCATTCCAGTAATCAGACGTTTCGTTGCTAAAGAGGTTAGTCATCAAGCTTTGTAGTAAATAATGCACAAGAGGAGACAGTATGTAAACTGTATATGTATCTGTCCCCATCTGCCTGTTTCCATCAGGAGGAGCATAGAAAGAAAACAAGGTCCTTCAGTTTGTTAAACCTCCTTCTGGCAGCCCTGCAAAGCCTGCCCATCCCAAGAGAGAAACATTCACCTCTCCGCCCACCAGGGCTGGATCGACACTCATCTTTTTAACGTTATTAGAACAATATTATTTATATTGTTCTAAAACGTCACAGGGCATACTGGTTTTGGCATTACCTTGTTTTGTCCATCGAAACACAATTCCCCTACTGCTGGTTCCTGGTTGCTCTGCAGTGTCCTCTGGTGTCACATTTTAATAACACATTATGAATGTTAAAAGCAGAACATAATGTGTCCATCTACATTATAAAAATCATTCCTTAACCCTTCCTTAACTTTATAAACCATAAGTGCAGATCCACCCCAGGTCTCCAGACAACTGAGCTATGCAAACGAATCCCTTGTAAACATACAGACAGGGGCAGGTACATCTGTCAGTTTCAGATTTTCATTTTTCCAGTAATCAGTTCTTCACATTTCTGCATCAGTTTTCAATGATTAAAGTCCTCATGTGGATTTCATCAGCGTTTTTGTGGAAATTACCCATTTTTGTATGCAATCTTGTCTGATACACACATTTTTGCTAGCAATTTCCCCTTAATATAATGAATTTCATGTTGGTTTTTTTTCACTTTCTCATAATATGCAGGTACCTTGAATCTTATGCTGGGGTTACATTCTTGGCCATTGTGGGTATAAGCAAAAACATATAAAGCCAGATATCCCCAGAACTGGGCCCCCTGCAAGGGGGAAGGCAGCTTGCCTGGCTTTGGGATGGAGACGGGGAGGCTCTGGCAGGGTCTTAGAGTCCTCCCACCTCCTTTTCAAAGCCCAGTAAACAGTTGCCCAGCTTTGAGCAGGAGGATGAAGGGCTATAGAACCTTGCCAGAGCTCTTGAACCTCCTTCTCAAAGCCAAGTAAGCCTGCAATGGAAGCTTTGCACAAGTGCGGGTGGATACCGGAATGGAGAATGGTCTCCATTTATTTATTTATTTATTCCCCACCCACCCATGCAAAGCTGCAATCACATAAATTAAATAAGTATAAGATGCGAGTTATTTATGTACACATTTTGGGGCGCATTATTTGGTTGGAGAACTTTATTGCAATATTCAGTGAAGGGTGAATTTTGAAGGATGGCTGTGCTCAGGCTTGCATATTGTTTGGGGAAATGTGAGTTAGATTAAATGCAAACTGAATCAAACTTTTCCCCAATCCTTACGTGTAGATCAGGCATACGTCTTAATGCACAAATGAGCTATGCACAGGAGGTGTGTAATACCTCAAGTAACCACCTAAGAATGATATAGCTAAACACAACATGCAT